CACACACACACACACAGAAATTAGAGCTAGAGAACCAAAGCAAAGGCACCACATGAAAAAGACTTTTACTTTGAAGTCAGGGCGGTTACAGTGTCAAGTCACACTGAGTTGAATGCTGTACAATATGTGTCAGCAAGTATGTGCTTTAAAAGAAGTCCGTCAGTCATTGCAACACAAGAGAGAGAAAAACAGCCAGTGTGACACACAGACAAAACTGTATGGATAAAGAACAAAGGTGATAAGTAGAAACTAACCAGCAGAAACTGATGGATATTTAAATGTGCTACTTTTTAAATAATGCAAAGCTAAAAAATTACGGCATCTACTTGTTGACCTTTGAGAAGCTGCCATTCATGGCAGTGCTACCATTCAGGAAGCCCTTGCATTCAATGACAAAATATAAAGATGTATAGCCTGATGTAAGGAGTACTGTTTTCCAGCTGTGCTTCATAAAAAACAACTACCTCCATCCAATCAGCAGATAAGAGCATATGTTTGGGGTCACCTGACACAAAAGCTTGATTCAGTACAGTCACATGGCTGAGACGACTACTCTATATTTCTGAATGGTCTTTCATGCTTTTAGGATGTAGAAAGTTCTTTCTATAAACATAATATGGCATTTTGTCTGAAGGGTTTGCAAAAAAAAAGATAAAAATGACAACTGAAAGGGCAGAAAGAGACAATAATAAGAATATAGCAAATCAGCAGTCATTGGTCAAAGAATCTGGAGGTTTAACATCAAAATCTGTGCAGATTTAAATAGGAACAGGTTTCTGTTTCAGTGTCAAGTGCACAATAATGCCTCTAACAAGTTGGAATTAACAGGCGTGTTACTTTAGCAAAGCTATTCTTAAAACTTCAAAATAGGAATAGAGGGTCTAGCACTATTAAACATACTAAGAACTGACAAATCACCTTTTAAACCTCTTCAATCTAACCACTGAGTACACTGCAGAGGGCCCAAAGAAAAACAGGCTCCCAAAATATTAAGAGGCCAATTGCAAGCCCTGTTGTGGTTCAATAATGATCTCGGGTCACTTATGCTTTAGTCGACTGGCAAATAAATTCAAAATAGAAGTGCATTTGGGGGAAAAATGGTTACAAGAGTGTTCTCTTGTCATGCAATTGTATGGGGACATCAACTAAATGGAAGCTTCAATCATTTCATTATTCTTCTTTTAGTATTTAATTTCTTTAAGTATTTCAAATGTAAATAATACATTTGGTTGTTTTATCTTTGTTAACGCCAAACTTTTGAGAGGTAGTGTGGTTTTCCATCTCATTCATGACACAAAGAGCTAGACTTTCTGTTGTCAAGAAGAGTCTAATGTTGATTTCTCTCAAAGCCAAACAAGGACAACTACAAGGTCTTGACCAAGAAAATTGATGCATGGAAACGTATTGCTCGAGTATAGTAGCAACATAAGGAAATAACTGAAATGCAAACATGCCTGCAGGCTTCAGACTCCTGTATGTGTGAGCATGTGAATTAGCATTTTCTGGCACCAGCAACCGGCGTTAACTATGGGTGACATCCCACTATGTGGGAGAGCTAGTTGCTACTCGCTATCGTTTCCCCTTCTTGTAAAAAGTAAAGTGTAGTACGAACCCTGATTAAAATTGGACAAAATTAAGTGGTACAAACTATACAGTCAGTACTGGGAATATCGTGTGTGTGTGTTGCAGGAAAGTGAGTAAAGGTGTTGTCGGCCGCTGATAGATGAAGAGAGCAGTGGAGAGATAAAAAAGGAAGGAAAGGTGGGAGAAAAGTAGTTGACCCAGGAGGTCCATTACAGTGTAAAATTGAGTCAGCCCAAAGTGACACCTGAACGGAGGAGCTGGAGGAGCCAGAGTGGTGGGGGGTTCTTAGTCTCAGTCCTGTTTGGCTGTTTTGGAATAATTTACCTTCTCTAACCAGCCTCTCTCTCCTTCTCCTGCCATCTATTTATAAAGGCTCGGGCAGTTTGTGGCTGCTTGTGTGTGTGGCTGCGGCAGTGCCGGCAGTATCTTAATGGGCCTGGAGTGGCAGGGCTGCTGTTATTTAAGTGGGGGACGGACGGAGGCCGGTAATGGAGAGGAATACTCCCCGATGGGAGGTGACAGTGGCCGGATGGGCACAGAGAGAAATGGCCTCAGGGTAGAGGTTGGCCATCGAGGTAGGCACTTTTACTGATTCTGATGTGCAGCAGGGTATGTGCCCACCCACCCACCGG